CTTAAAACATCTCCAAAGCCTACTGAGGTTGCCATTCCGCAGTGGATAATTAAAAGCTGATATCATGAGGATGATGATGAGACGACGTAGTATATTAATTAAAAATATAAACAGACAAATGTTTGTATTGTGTGGAAACCGAACCCGCGACCGTCGAATAACAAAGTCGTGTGTTAAACAACTACGCTGCCAGTATGTCATATTATGTGCAATGCTCATCCAGATCCAAGTATGCATGATTAAGCAATATATATCGAAGCATCATCGTCCAGGGGGAAGGGATTAAGTAATGGGGTCTAAAAGTCCGTTGCTAGCAATATACCCTAACAAGTCGATCTCCAAGTGGTCAACCTGGAAACCATCGTGGTTAATTCCTGCAGAATTCGTCTAATTTCAAAATTGGAATTGGAATTGACCTACAGCATTCATCCTCGCAGCTCGCTACAGCTTTTGTCATCCCCCACTGATACCCCTCCAGCATATACAGATAGCGAAGACGGAGATACCATTCCATTTTCATTCATTAAAAAACAAATCTATTGCGGAGGGAGATGAATTGTTAGTAATAAGAATGTTAATCCCCATTACAAGCAATGTACCCTGTCAAGTCGACCTCCACGAGGTCCCCCCTGACAACCATCGTGATAATTCTTGTTGAATCCGTTACAATAGGCCAACCGATCTGCGTTCAATCTCATTGATACTCTGCCATCATAAACCAATAGCGTGGGCAAGGTTACCAAACCATTATCACCCCATAAAGAACCATCCAAACATGTTCACAGTTGAGTTTAACGCCATTTCCAGGTGGAGTACAGTGGGACTACGAGAAACAAAACTACTTAATTACATTGCCTAATGAAAAGTCCACTTCTTGGATCAAAGTTCAAATTAATTAAGGGACCATTACTGACAGCTTTTAATTGACTATTTATTATTGTAATTGACCTAGTTTTGAAATTACAACGAATAATTTTAATACCAGGAGCAGCATTAAAGGCATGAGTATTATTTTAAATCAAAAATCACAAGGTAATGTTTTTAAACGATTTCAAATGGCTTATAACACTAACTCTAATTTATAGACACTAAGTTCCATAGATGTCACAAAATAAATAGACTGTAACACTCATGTGTTGCCATTCCCGAAGAGTAAGGTCTTATAATCTCTCTATCCAATATTGTCACTGCCTGCCCACTCTTCAAATCGAACGAGACAATTTTATTAAAATAAAATAGAATGGTAACCCCACCTGGGCACCAATATACGCTGATGGGGCGCTAGTGAGACATGATAGGCGAGGACGAGATCAGATTAACCCCACCCTACTTCGCCCCGAATACGACAACATGGGTAGAACGATTTCCCTGTGCTGCGATCAATATTTGCCTGCCTGTATGGTATATAATAAAGGGGAAATATGGAAAGAAATAACAAAAAATTATGGCAACACTGTATTTTCAAGTTTTTTTTTATTATTTTTTCAACTGTATTCGTCACCCATACAATGCTTTTAGTGCTTTATTCGCTTACATAATGTGATTTGTACTAAATATTTGATCACAGTAATAAAATTATAATATACAAAATTACAGTAATAATAGCTTTATTTGCATTTGGACTTTATTTTGAAAGACAGACAATTTTAATATAAATTCTAATTTAAAAAAAAAAAACAGATCAAAATTAGTACAAACACAGAGAACTATTGATTTTTTATTTAACACAATAACATTAACAAATTGAATTCAACAATTTCACAACGGCAGCATTAAATAAAAAAAAGAGCTATCTCTCAATATAGCATTACTCTGAGGATGGCCAAAAACATTATTTTGGTCATCAAGCCATAAAAGATAAAACTATTATACGCATATCTACCATAGAATTAGCAATGTTTAAATTAACTGTCAAATTAAAAAATAAATGTATGTTTTCTAGAGCCGATTTGTAAAAAAAAAAAAAAAACAAAAAACATTTCAATGGTTCGACGTAATTTTTTTTATTAAAATGATGTTTTGTGTTATTAAATCATTCTAATGTATCTCTCTTCGCCGCAAGTTTCTTGCAAAGTAAGACAGAAAGTATATGCCCATTTAAAGCCCTTATTTTGTATTCTAGTTGACAGAATATTTATGAAATAGATAAATAGATATACTTAAATGTGTGAAGTATTCTATAGGGGATACCCTATATAGGCAAGTGCGCATACATATGTCGACCAAATAGGTTAGGTTAAGTAATAAAAAAAGACTGCATCCTGCCTACTCCAACAGTATACGGACGTATTTGACATTGACAGCTAATACAAACGTTGCAAGTCTCGCTGGAAGAGCGCTCTCCTAAAAAAACTGGCATCAAAACTAGCATGAACATGGTCCATTTGAGAAAAATAGTTGTATGTTATATTATGCCTCTATACAATTGTTACTACTTAAAATACATAATAATTATAGAGAATGAAGTAGATCTCTTCTATTTGCTAGTCATATAGATTGTTATGTATCACTAAATGCATAATATAACACTATAATACGTAATATATGTACGCTATAGTTATATTATACGAATTTTATGTCAGCCTTCTAATGTAATTACAATATTGCGTCCGGGGGCGTCGACAGACAGAATGCAAATGGTTCCATTCTTCAATTAATCAATAAAAAAAAAAATTGCTTCGTATAATCCGCCTATGAAAATGTACTAGTCGATTAATATTACGCCATCAGCACGAGAGACCTATTAAACACGGCGAGTTATGCAAAGCAAATTCGATTACGGATCACCGTATAAGGTAGGCTTTTTAAACCCCCTTATTTGTAGTAAGTTATCGTCATTAGAACAACCACAATCAAGGTCTGAAATTTATTATGTCCTGTGAAGATGAGTGGTAAATTATTTCGAACAAAATATTGCTTTACATAACCTCCTTTCAGTAGAGAACAAGACAAAAATTTCTTCTAAGAAACAGAATCCTTTGCATCTTATCTGTTGTAATAAAACATTTATATTATCTTTTTTTTTACATAAAATATTGCTTTGAAAGTCATTATGTTACTGGCATTACTAAAACGTAGCTTGCTGACAACTGAAATATTGAATTAATGTTTGTTTAATCCACATACTTTTTGAAGATATGTATTTCACTCAGAATATGAGGAAATCCTTCCTCATTTCATTCAAACTATATAATGTTGCTAGATTCAAATAATCTATTGTGTGAGTTATACAATTAATTAATAAAAAAAAAAAACATAATGAATAAATAAACGTAGGAGTGCACAATTAACTAGATATTTTATAAGTAAGATTAGTTGCTCTCAAGTCAATGTTTCATGTCGTCTAGTTTTTTTTTTAGTATTACAAAGTAGATTGACTGTATAAGAATACAAGATTTATTCATTGTTGCAACACTAACGAAAGTGGCATACGAATACGTACATAAATATAAAAATTGAACAAACACTAAATCATACTTCATAAAATTAACTTCAGCTAAATCGCATGATCCAGCTAGTTCTAATATTTACTGAAATAGAAATTATTAATTAAAAATATCAATAACAGATCTTTTGTAAATGTACAATAAAAAAGAAAAAAGTGGTAGTATTTTTTTTATTGTACACAGCAACACAGCGCTTGTAATTTTCATTTTGTATCTAATAGAAAAATTTATTATAATGTATTATGTAAAATTATGTACACATAAAAATAATATATGCAATTGATTAATGTTAATTGAATATGTATATTCGTTTATAAAAAAAAAATATAAATGAATCAAAAGTTGCGGACATATTAACTCTTATTTAGTCTATATAAAAAATATTAAAGTGTATACGACGAGTATTATGACATAACATAGCTAAAGGCTGACATATAAATATAAACATTACAAATTAAGCTGGAACATACTATCGGGCGTAACCGATAGCCGCGACTGATGGACGTATCCGATAGTATGTTCCGCCTTTAAGTGACGATACTGTGACGTTACAGGCCACAGTGTGACAAACATAAATAAGCTAATTAACGTTATAAAAATATCTCTATATCTGTGCCGGTGTTTTAAGTTTATTAACGTGTTGCGTTGGCGCCAAAATTACTATAAGCAAAAAAATATATATCTCGTTCTTAATTCAAAAATTTAAAACGAATGTTATTCCTTTAACAATAAAATTTTTGAATAGACAATGTTAATTTTTATTTTTTTTTTTCGTTTAGTATTTCGCAATATTATCAATTATTATTATAATAGTTATTATTCTATTCGATATTAATATAGTAGGTACAATGTGACTATTTACATATAATAATGTATTGTGAAATTAAGACAGTTCATAGCAACGTCTGCAATATCTAACATTTTCAAACTAATTATCAATAATTACGATTCAAGTGCTCTTATAGAGGACTAAAATGTTAATCATAAAGATTTTTATTATAAGCATAAATTATTGCTATAATTGTGAATGTTGATAGTATAAAACGTTAGAAAAGTCTAAAAGCAAAAAACTAAAAAATGTCGCAATTTTTAGTGGCACATTCGTAAACATAGTTCGCTATAAGAGCACTTAGTAAATCAAAAAATTCATCTCAATTTAAAAATATTGAATTGTTTCTGAAAATGGACTCAAATAATGCAGATGTTACCAAGTTTCGGTATGAATTTTTTAAATCCTTTATTCGAATAAAACGCAAAACGCAATAAAACACCGGCACAAAACGAGAATGCAGCATACGCTACCTTATATTTAATACTTTTTTTATTGTATTATTTGTCGAATTTTTAACTTTTTTTTTTTGTATGGCACCACAGCCACTACTTTAATAAGACGCACACACGTGACTTATTGTGCATAATGAAACATACTGTACAAACGTTTGAATCGATTTTGAGGCCCTGAACCAGTTTATATATATATATATATATATATATATATATATATATATATATATATATATATATATATATATATATATATATATATATATATATATATATATACATATGTATGATAAAAAAATCGCTTTTATAAGATAAAATACAAGGGATTAAAGAGTATAAAAATATATATCTAACCGTATTTTTTGAAGATTACCGTAATTTAAAAACTCGTAAAAATTAAAAGCATTTTAGGATTTTATTTTTTTAATAATGTTCATCATTGGGGTGTATGGATCAATTTCCAATAGAGAGTCAGCTTGTCCATGTCACTATTTCCAATTTAACTAAAAAATAAAATTACGAAACATAATTTGAATTATAATAGGTATTGTGTTAATAATAATAATGTAAATAAATAGTTGAATCGTTGTATATGTACTTAATCTTTTATGACTTCACAGTTCCTATATCCACCAGTGGACTTGAAGCTATCTCTTTCACATGGGCTCAGTATCGTAGCCGTAAACGTAAGCAGACGGATAGGTTTATAATAATATAGAAAGAATAAAAATACACAGAGGCGTGTTGATGTAATTTCATAATCACCAAGCTAATCTATAAGTTTTTTTTTTAGACACAAGCCAATGACACATATTAACGATGAAAAATATTCCAAATAAACAAAGCAGGAACTAATACATGGCAGGACTAGTGGCAGAAGTGTACAAACATTACCACTCCGAAATCTACACAGTGATAGTTATCATGAAACTGAACAACTTTCCCCGAAGAACGTAGAGCCATGTTGTTCAGTTTCATCAATGAAGGTTGGAACGAGATGTTCAGTTTTACGAAATTGTCAAAATATAAATGACTACCTCTGTCCCGCAGCTTCACCCGCGTGGATCAGTATATAAAAAATCCTATGTGCTAAGTTAGGACATCACCTATGTACCAAATTTCATTCGAATTCGTTCAGTAGTGTTTACGTGAAAGAGTAATAAACATTTATCCATACATACAAACTTTCGCAATTATAATATTAATAGAATTACCCTTTAATTAATATTATGAAAGGACGATAATGTGACCCCGGGGTAGATTTCAAAAATTACTTTCTTTTTCTTTCTTTAAATACACAACCAAGACTTAACGCGATGTAAAAGCCTGTAAAGTCCTGTTGTAACCACGACATGGTGCAATCCACGTCGAAACATTGCAATAAAGACGCATGTAGATACTATTTACCTGTAAAAGCTGTTAAGACATCGCGTCAAGTTCCAATTGTGTATTAAAACAAATGTGTAAACAACGCGAAAGTTTATTAACTAATTACTTTCTTGCTTCGTTACATGTTCCTTGTGGAAAATTGTTCAGTTTCACGAATTTCTATCACTGTATTTCGGATTGTACTATCGTAAACACTTGTCACACCTTTTATCTACAAGTACCTAAGAAACTGTAATTCACGACAGAATATTATTATTATTTTATTTAATAATCTATCGTAAAATATTTATGATCTTATCTCGGGTTTTTGACGCTCAAAGAAGGAACATGTTGGTTATTCTAAAAAACAAGTCAACAGCCTCAAAAACATTCAAATTATTTCAAGGGACATTAAACCTTATAATAAAAGTGTCATATTGCCTTAACAGCAGAAGGTTTTTAACATCACAACCTGCCTCCTGCCGGTATGTAAACTAATTTAAGCTCATTATTATGGGAATATAACTTTTACACATGCGTTATGCAATCCATATTTGTTTAAAACGTTGGCACTATTTATTATGCAAGCCGATTATTTAAGCATTTATTTTAAACCAAAGAGATCTAATAGTTTTTTTTTTTTATAAATTCTCATTTTTATTATCTGTTCAATGTATGAGGTCTTTGGTAATTGTTATTATACTGAATTTAGCATTTTCTAAATTAATCAAATAATTAAATAAAAATAATAAATTTAAAAAATAATCAAATAAAAACATTAATTAATAAACACAACAACAAAATAGTTATAAATAAAGTAAATAATATGTATTTATAAAGTAATTTCAATGGAAAATGGCAACACCTTTGACATTTGCCAGGAGAGTTGCAAAAAGAGATTTTTGAGCTAAAATTTTGTTTCATTAAAAATATTTAAAAATGTGGCAACATCTCCAATTACCATTTTAAGTGCATATTCATTTAGAAAGCTTTTTTATCTAAAATTCTTATATATTTTTATTCTCACATACATAAAATTTACAATAATACAACAAACAGTTTTTATTTTTAAAAATCTATTGCTGACATTATATTAAAAAAATATAATCATACATTGAACAGAATTTTAAAGGCGGAGAAATTACTAGCGTTTTAAGGGTCAGCGTAGACTACTGGAATGGTATCAACAAGCATTATATTGTTTGAAGACATGAAGATTTTGCTAAGTGTTGCGAATTTAAATTAGCTAGAGAATTTAAAGTAAATTTTTGAGAACAAGTTAATGTCTTTATCTCCACCCCACTGGTCTCCACTAACCCTAAATTGTAATAATGGTTGCTTTTTTACAAGATTAACGTTTCAACACGTCGTCAACTAAATAGGTTCAGATTTCGACATTTGATTCGCACATCAAAATTGAAAAGTTTGTTGTTCCTATTTTAATAAGTACATTAATCTTTGGGATACTCGAATCGTTCGAGGGCCAAGCAAATATACAATTTATCTAACAATAAATTATGGGCAGTTGCATACGATTTTAAATACTAAATACAACGCAATAAGGTTGCAAATGCAACATACTTTAGGACAGTAAACCTTTACAATTGTCTCGCTAGCAAACACCTCATAAAAATTTCTAATTTTGTGACACATTTCAGTTTCTATAGCTTCATCTGTTCACCATAAACACCCCATGCAAACATAACCGTATTTACAATTGGATATAGAAAATATTTTATATTATAACGCATATCAAAGCCATTATCTTTTACTAGAATTCGTTATGTCTACACAATTATACTGTCAAAGCGCACACCGAAATATTTACCGTGATATTTAAAAAAAAGTTTAAAAAATATTTTATAGAGAAAAATGGGGAGAATTTTATTTAAATTTTTCAATTTTTTTTTTTTCATTATATTTAATTTTAATAAACAATATACAATAGAAATTGATATAAATAAGTTAAATGGTTAATATAAAAATGGAAAATTGTTATTTCATATTCATAAATAAATATGCCGACTCTTAAGCTGCGTACAGACGTGTGGAATCCATAATTTCTATAATGTAATATATCGTGTAATGTTACACAAATAATATGTGGCCATAAAGGCGCTCGCAGTACTCTTACGATTTTGTGTCGATATTAAAACTGATACAAATGTAGTACAGATAAAATAATATATATGAAATGCTACGAACAGATAATACGCTGCAGTTGTTTTTGGTTAGACATGGAAAATGTAAATAATCTTATTTGACACGTACCGATTGTAATTTATTAGTTCAATTTATTTCCATTTTATCTTTGACATTAATTTTGAATAATTACAATAATCACCAAAATTAGTGCTATTTTCTTATTTAATACATGAAATTTGCATGCCTACAATTTTAAGGCAGTTGAGTAGATGCCAAAATTTCTGTCACATGGCCTTTATTACATAAGTGTCTGTTTAAAACAAATAAATATTTAATTTCATAGATTAAGATAGATGACATAAGATAGAAGACAAATGACCATACGTGAACGCAAAGATGCCAAAAATCTACTTTTAAAAAAAATTTTATATGTCCGCTAACTACAAATGAATAACTCTAGCTTAATATTACATTACACACGTCTGGATGTTAACGAGCGCTACATTTCGTGACGATGATTAAGACGGTATATGACTGATATTACTAAAATGCCGTTTGTATGTAAGAGTCTTTACTGGGATCCGATTAGCATATTCATTAAAAAGGAAACCATAAGAAGGATATAATTGAACACAAACGCCAGTGTATTCACCGTCATGAAAACTCTTTTAGGTTATCAAATAAAAATTACAATTGACTATTTATAAACAAAGAAACTGTATTATGAAAATAAGTACGTATTAAAAAAGAGTATAAATACGGCAGTATAATGAGCCCATACCTTTATATTTGAACAACTACAAATGAATATAGTGAATACACTGTGAATTCTAAAACTAAAATATTATATATAATATATAAAAAAATTTAATAAAATAATGAATCTAAAAAAAATAATATGAGTAATTATGAAATATAGATAATATAATAATAATGAACTTCGGTTATTTAAATATCTACTAAAATGGTAATTTTATTTATGGCAATGTTACGAGAAATAATGTTTTCCCCTACACACTAGGAAAGTAGTTACCTCATAGGTATTTATAAATATGAAAGGTTGATAATATTACCATAGATAATAAATATATAAAACTCTTTAAAGTACAAAATTCTCATCTATTGGAGTAGATTAAGATAAGCTCAATATAGAATCTGTAGGTGTCATAGCTGTACAACTAATTTCCTTTGCTTACATACGTAGCAAAAAATCACAATAAAAAACATGGCAGAACTGTGGTGCTGTCAATAGAGAATATATTTTTTTACATTATTAAAATACATAATTCGCATACTTGCACACTTGCAAACGTCTCACACGAAAATCATTTTTAGAAAAAATACATCGATTTATGATTTATTGTTATTAATTTTTCATATTTTCAAAAATATTTACAACACAGTCTATTTCTATTTATCATGATAGTTTCGATCTGGCTATGATATCAAATGTCTTACATAATTCCTAAAAACATAACATTGTCAATGTTGTTTTTTTAAAAAGCGTCCAGCGCAAAGTTGGCTTGACGACTTGCGTCTCATAATGCCGAGGAATTAATAATTAAGGTATACAAACTTAATGTATATGTCTTTAGTAATAATATCAGATGAAAGAAATATTCATTAAAAAAAAAAAAAAACTATTCAATTATTTTTAACTGTTTAACTTTTATATTAGTTTTGTCATGTTTACAGTTGGTATCGCAACCAGACCGCATAGTTAGTCGTAAAAGTTATATCACTCTGAAACTCAGTAATAATGTTCATGAAACTGAACAATTCGCCGTAAGTAAAAGTTATTCAGTTTCATTTTGGAATTATGGAAATAGTTCAGGTTCCCTGGGATAATTTGTTCAGTTTCCTGAATACTATCACGGAGTTACAGATTGGTATACTCCATCCAACTAAGGTCATATAGAAAATTTGATAAAACTTAAAGAACACATTTGACTAATTATCATTACTTTAACGGTCCACTTGACACTCTTTAAAAAAAATATATCAACTTAACATTACATGATTTAAAAATAATATTACATATCTTTTTTTTTTTTTGCTATTTTTGTCCATTGTTGCTAGTGAATTAAATTAAAATTACACACCATCTGAGATCTGTCACTCACTTACATTTTTTTTCGAGTTTTTTTTTTCACAGTTTTTATCACATTTTTTTTTTTTGTTAAATACTGTTTCCTCTTAGGTGCTCATGTAAGGGATATGTAGTGCCACTTCACGCGACATTATTTTTTTGTAGTATGGCAACGTTTCGTGTGAATTAGTTACGGTGTTGCCATACAAGTGGAGGTTTTTGTGGAGATTATGAACTGACTTCGTTCAGGATGCGTATTTGCCTTTGCTTGGGGATACCTGTCAAAATATTATAATGAATGTAATACCTACATTTAATAATCTATTTGCTATTACTGTAATAAAATTTCTAAAATATTTTTATTGGATTAGATATCCATATGTTTCATACATATTTTATACAGATGTTCTGTGTCATACATAGAACATCTGTATAAAATTGCATGCAAAATTGCACTGCATTGCACACATGCACACATGCACGCATGTCCTTCCAGCATCTGAGAACCACTTCCTTTTTGGAAGCCAGTTGAAGACAAGACAACGATCATGATAACAATTCTATGGATTAATTCATTGGCCACTTGTCTATAAGGGCAGATCGTATAAGTTCGACTAAACTTCTGCGATTTGCCTTTCTAGTGGACTCACTAGTAAGTTATAGTTGTAAATCCACGAAAAACGGATCGAATATACAGTAACAGCTAACTAGAATATTTACCTGGGTGTGTCACGCGATGGAGTTGACCGCGTAATGTGGGCGGGTGCCCTCCGGTTGGTACAGCGTTATGGACGCTATATAATTGTTTGACATCACCTGTAAATCAAGACATTTTTTTATTTGGTATATGTTTAGTAAACAGAAAATGTCATTTCCAGAAATTAAAACATTATTCATATATTATAATAAAAAAATATAAAACATATGTACTTTTTGTACATATGTTTTATACAATAAACGTTTTTTTTATACAACTTTACTGTAGTCACTAAAAAAAAGCTTCAGCAGCTCTATAACCTGATTTTCACACACGTGAATATGTAAAATGTCTCAATATTTTAATATATATTTTTATGATAATTAACCCTTAAATACCTTAAGTTTCAAATTTGATACCTTGGTTATAAATCGCACCGGGCGCCTACAATCGATTTTATTTTAATATTTGGCTGTTTACATGTTACCAAATTATTATTTTTTTAAATAAATATATAAAAATATCGTTTTGATTTTTATACTATTTTCCCCATTAGTAAACACAGTAAAGGGTACACTTATATATTGTTAATTTAATTTAAAAAAATCAGGTTTTTAAGGGTTAATTAAAAACCCATCTAATTAGAAGTGATAACCATCAGCTATTAGTATGAACAGCAATGTGCACTACAAAATACAGTGTAACGCCCACAATACCCCTTACGAGTTACCATCCCTGAGGAACTAACCTCAAATATCATGTCCTGGTATCCGTAGCAGAAGGTGGAGCCGAAAGGGTTGGTGGTGTTGGTGGAGGAGGCACGGTTGAGAACCACTGGCCGCTCGCAGACGCGCAGTGCGCGCGACACCACCTCCCACTTGCTGTACGCCGTGATCGACACCGCGCCGCGGTTCTCCACCAACGAGTTCGGATCGCATCTGACGGGTCAACAAACTTATTTTTTTTTTTTTTACTTTACAACGAGGTAAAAGCACAACAGCTTTGAACGCACCGCAGTCTTGACAATACAAATAAGTATAGAAGTGTACAAAATATTTAAAAACATAAATTATTATAATTACCACGGGCACATCACTATATTGAAAGCAAGTTTCATCAAATATCATCCAAATAATCTTACTCGAACATCTTTGTTTACATTGCTCACACAAACCGACTTACTTGAACAACTTTGCTCATATAGGCAACTTTTACCAAACGAGCAACTATTTTTTTGAACAAGCTTGTTTATATATAATATTTTATTTTAGATATGTCAACTTACTTATCCGGCTGAACAGCGAGCTCGAACTCACAGCGGTGGTACATGTTGAAATTGTAGTGACCGGGATAGTTGGTGTGTAGCACGAACTTCTTCACCTGGTGCGTGCGGGCGTCGAACAACATGTCCTACATCCACAAATATATAATTATTTCCCTCTCATTAAATATTTTAAAGACAACAATGACAACGTTTATTATATTACTCTATTTACAAATACATTTTTGTTAGATGTTGGGCAACTTTGTTCAGAAATCGACATGGCTCAAAAGAGTAGATTTTTTTTATTGGATGAAAATGGAATGGTAACCCCGCCGGCGCTAACGGGATACGCTGGCGGGGCACCAGTGAAGGGTGGTCGATCAGGATGAAAATAGACCAATTAGCCCATCATGATGAATTCATCACGAATTAATCATGATAGTTTCCAGGGGGAACCGCTAGGAGGTCGACCTGGTTAGGTATATTGTTAGCTATGGGATTTACAGTCTCCATTACTAACAATCCCTTTCCCCCCTAAAAAAGTAGATTCGCATACAAAGATTAATTTGTTCATATGAGCAACTTTGCTCGCATGAACAATTCAAGCACAAATGAAGTTGAATTGGATCCTCGTGATAATGAGGGATATGAATGAATGAGGATACTTTATTTGCATTGTGCAATATAAGGATTAAGTAAGACAATTAATAAATGTTAATATATTTCTAGTCTACAAAGTTAAAAGAGGCATTTTTCATGACTACAATCAACATGTTCTTTATAGATTTAAACTAGGAAAAAAAATGCCACATGTAATGTAAAGTACTAATGTATTTTTTTTTTATACAACTTAGAATGGCAAACAAGCTGACGGCCCACCTGATGGTAAGTGGTAACTGTTGCCTATAGACGTGAGCAGTACCATGGACATAACAGAGTATACTCTTTCGCCCATGATACCCCCCATGCGTTGCCATTCCTGAGGACTCAGGTGTTATTCCTCTGTACCTAGTAAATTCACATCATATCCCACCCTTCAAACCGAAACACAGCCATGCAAACACAACTGCTTCACGGTTGAAACACGAATGGGACAGAGGTACCCAAGCAATCGACTTTTGTACAAAGTCTCCCTCTGGTAGAAATTACTAAAAGATAATAAATAGGATTGATAGTATAGACAAATATCCCAGATTTTTTTCTTTTTTTTTTTATAACATTTAAAATGGCAAACAAGCTAATGGCTCATTTGTTGGAAAGTAGTAAATATCGCCTATAGATAGCACCACGAACATCACAGACACTATACTGTGATGCATGTATCATCATCACCACGTTGCCATTCCTAAGGACTAGGTCAAATCCCAGATTTGAGCGTAAACAGTACTATTAGTATTTTTTTTTTGTTTGATAATGGAATGATAACCCCGCCTGCGCTATCGGTATACGATGGCGGGGCACCAGTGAGAGATGATAGACGAGGATGAAGCAGGCCAGCTAGCCCATCGTGACGAATTCAACAAGCCACGACAGGTTCCAGGGGGAACCACGTGGAAGTCGACCTGATAGGGGTATATTGCTAGCAATGGGACTGTCAAACCCCCATTACTAACAATCTCCTTCCCGCCCGTACTGTTAGTACTAGAATGTAAAGAGTTGACTGACCAGGCCGAGCGTGAAGTAGTTGAAGAAGTAGTCGGAGGCGGGCGGCGGGCGGCGGCGGGCCGTGGGCCGGTGGATGCGCATCTTGTCGTCGGCCTTGTAGTAGAGCCGCGCCGGCGCGCCCAGCGCCCGCGCCACGCGCTGGCAGCTGTCGCCGAAGCGCACCGCGCGCACCGCGCACACCGCGCCCTCCAGCGGCCGGCCGCCGCCTGCGCGCAACGCACACACGTCACCACGCCGCCACATCACATCGCCACATCGCCACATCACCACATCGCCACACCTCACTCGCACTCCCCGAGCTGGTCGAGGACCTGAGCGACGCTGACGCTGACACCAATGCAGCGCAATGACAGCGCTTCACTGGGCCGTAGTTGTCAACAACGTCGACGCTGTTACCGTTCTTTTGATGCACGGTACGAATAGGGGCGCTCAGGATGATAAGGTATGTTTATAGTCGCTTCTTAATCAGTAGAAAAAGGAAGCATTTAGATCTTTTTTTTACACCACGCAAGTGGCGACCGAACATGCAGCCCGTCTGATGGTAAACGGTCACTATAGCCTATGAACGCTTACAACACTAGGGGTGTCACGTGCGCGTTGCCGACCACAAAGAAAAACTCCTTTTTTGAAAAACCCCATACTGTAGTCTCTAGGAACAACCTTGGCAGGGAGCTCATCCCACAGCCGGAGCGTTCGCTGGAGAAATTTCCTTTGAAACCGCATTGTACGTAACCATTTAGGTTTAAACGCGTGAAGATTAGATCCCTGTAGGTTACGTGTCTCATACATACATATTAACACCATTTATAATATTGTTCCTTTAAAAAATTGCCGCCATGACAGTTTTTTATTTACATATTGATCGCATCAAGTAAACATGGGAGTTACAGATCAATCAAGTGATTGGGGCATAAGTGAAATGAGTATGCATACTCACCTTCAGTGAACATGTGCAGCCGGAGGCCGACGGTAGCAGTGGAGGTGCGCAGCACGTCGCAGCGGCGCAGGTGCAGCTGGTGGCGGTAGCAGGACAGCGGCAGCTCGGGCAGTGGCGCCGGGCACAGGGAGCCGCTGCCGGAACTGCTCAGCTGAACACAAACGTTACGCATTTATTAAGTAACGTCCACTGACAACGGAGACCAGCATCTTAGACAAGGGACAAAGATATGGCAAACATGCTGACGGCCCACCTGATAGAAAGTAGTAACCTTTACATACAGGCAAACAGTACGATAAATATCACAGAATATAGTGTATTACATATTAGTAATTTTATCGCCAGAATGCACTCGTCAAATTGAAATACAGTTAAGATACCAATAGTTCTACATCTAAAGATCTACATTTATGTGGGAATTGAATAATAGAAAGATGCATGAAATGGAACTGTACGAAGACCGAATGAGAAGTACGGAGCGAATGAGAGGGCGATACACAACGAACGACGTAAGGTTAATGAAGGACAAGTTGTGCGCGAGCGATATATAAAAATAAAATTAAGTATAATTGCAAGTTGTTGTAAAGAATAATTAAAAATATATCTAAGTACTCCGTATTTTATTTTTGTTCACATTTATAAATGTATTTAAATATGTATTATGCATGTATGCAATTGTTAGATTCTGGTAAATTAATGGTAATAAAAAAAAGTGTACTCCATACCTGGTGTTGAGATCCATGGTAGATGGTGGTCCGAGAGACCACCGGTGAACCGCCATTGGGGAACTGGAGCGAGCCCAGCCCATGGGCATAGCCCGGCTAGAATCATTAAAACATTATATATAAAGTTACATTTAGAAACAAAACTGTCAAAATGAATAAAACTAATAAAATTATCAAATCTGTCAAAAATATCAAAACTGTCAATATTATCACACTGTCAAAATTATTAAAGCTGTTAAAAACAGATTGTATACAGGAACTTCTGCAATAATTGACAAGTTGATATGTAAGTTTCTTTTTTAATTTTAACTAGCGTTACCCAATTATGCCACAAACAAACACAGAACACAGCAGAATACTATAAAGGAATAGTTTAATATTTTGTTACTTATTTTTTTAATCGCTTCATCTTGTAGTCATACTAATTTTGTGAGGATTGAAACTGCCCTTTCGTTTTCAGAACAAAAACAAACATACGATTCCACGTTCTAAATTCAAATATTTACAATCTTTTTTTTTATACAACTTAGAATGGCGAACAAGCTGCCGGCCCACCTGATGGAAAATGGTAACCGTCGCCTATAGACATGAGCAGTACCATGGACATAACTGAGTTACTGTTGCGCCCATGATACCCCCATGCATTGCCATTCCTGAGGACTCAGATGTTATTCCCCTGTACCCTGTAAAATTCACGCCATATCCCACCCTTCAAACCGAAACACAACCATGCAAACACAACTGTTTCACGGTAGAAACACGAATGGGACAGTGGTACCCAAGCAATCGACTTTTGTACAGTCTCCCTCTGGTCTAATACGAGTACGAAACATCCCATCCTTTTTCGATATCTTTTGTCTTAATCGAAGTCGCTTTCTTATGAAAAAAAAAACTTATCTAAAAATGGACAGCTCACCTCAAATTTGCTATCAACAGGAAAATAAAAAGAGAGCCCTCTAAAGTTAAGCGCGAAAAGGTGCCGCTGCGAGTCGTAGAGGCCAGGGTGCGTCGCCCCGAAGCAGTGCTCCACTTGCTCTATCGACGGCGTTATCTCGGGCGAATTGAAGCACATACCACTGGAAATAAAGATTTATTGCCTCGATAATAATATTCATAAAAATTCCATACAAACATTAATCAACACACACATCCACAGAATATATTACGGGGTATGGAATTATTAATATCCTTTTAAAAGAGTATTCTACCTGTAATATTTGGGATTTTTTAATAAATTTAGGTGTGTTTGGCCACAATCTCAGCTGATGTTAGGTGACGATGGGGTCTAAGGCATTACTGTAATATAATATATAAATAATGCCTATTCACTATATCCTTGAAAGACCTAACAGATAAAGACCTAAGAAGGGATTATTAGTAATGGGGTCCAAAAGCCCCATTGCCAGCAATATACCCTATCAGGTCGACCTTCACACGATTCACCCTAGTAATTAACATGGTTAATTATTGTCGAATTCGTCACGATGGGCCAACTGACCTGCCTTCATCCTCACCTGTCACCCTACACTGGTACCGCCAGCGTATACCGGTAATGCAGAAGGGGCTACCGTTCCATCTTCACGTATTAAAAAAAAATAAGCGTTCTTTTGTACCATTATGGTACGGAACCATAAAAAAATTACCTATAATTACCACTGCATACCCTCCTATTTGCATAAACGCGTCCTACTCACTGGCAAGTGCTACGTGAATGCGCGAAGTATTCTAAACATTCCCAGTGTGATATTATTATATCAAACCAGTTGACATGCGGATTAGATAGATCGGCACAACGTAGAAATCGAAAGTGCCACACGGTGCCAATTCCCGCCAAATATTTCAGACACGTAGTGGGTAGTGGAGCGATGACATCATCACTTGTTTACTGTGTTTACAGCGCCCTGCTGACCCTTCTGACATTACGATGTTAATTGAGTAGGTACACTGCGTATGACCCTACCATAACAGTAAATAAAATAAGGTAGAAGTGACACTCGTTAGCATGTCTAATAGTACCGATATAGCCCATGGATGACGGTGACTGGTAATATGGCGGCCATGGTACCACTCACGTGTTGGTATCCCTGAAGAATAACTATACAAGTTCACCTACCAGCTTGGAGGTTCAATTACGTACACGTGACACCCCTGGTATTGCAAATATCTTTTTTTTTTAATAATACTTAGAATGGCAAACAAGCTGTCGGCCCACCTGATGGACAGTGGTAACCGTCGCCTATAGACGTGAACAGTACCATGGACATAACAGAGTATACTGTTTCGCCCGAGATAACTCCCCACGCGATGACATTCCTGAGGACTCAAGTGTTATTCAACTGTACCTTGTAAATTCACGCCATATCCCACCCTTCAAACCGAAACACAGCCATGCAGATACAACTGCTTTACGGTTGAAACACGAATAGGACAGAAGTACCCAAGCAATCGACTTTTGTACAAAGTCTCCCTATGGTCTACATTTTTTCTTATACCACTGATATGGCAAACAAGCATACGGCCCACCTGATGGTAAGCGGTTACAGTATCCTGTGGACGGCTGCAATACCAGGAATATTACGCGCGATATACTCGTATCATATCTACGATACTACTTACTATTAGAAGAACTGTAAAGTTTAAATGCCACAGCCATTGTATAAATAATAGAATCATCATCGTCGTCATATCAGCCTTTAACTGTCCACTGCTGAACATAAGCGTCCCCCTTGGGTGGGTTTTGCCAGTAGTTACCACGCTTGGTAGGCGACTGACAACCGCAGTTAGGCTTTAGAGATGTTTTAAGAGGGACGCCGCTGTATATCCCTCGCTTCGTCGCCTCTTACGTCAACCACGGGGAAGGAAGGGGTGGCCTATTCTATGCCCGGACCACACGGCCAATAAAAAATAGAATATAATAGTATATTAAAAATATCTCCGAGGTCGGCCCAGGAAGCGGTGACGCGGTGACCTAGACGCGTTTAAAAGGGACTGTTTCGAGGTGGCGCGTGGCGGGAACTTTTGGAGGTAAATGGAAACGACCTTTGTCCAGCTGTAAGACAAAATAAAATTAAAAATAATAGAATTAAAAACGAGGTGCAACTTACCTATACCTAAGTTTAACTAGTTTCATATTATATATCTCTATAATCTTGAGTCGTTGTGCGACCGGGTCGAATATTAACCGTATCCCATCTTGGGGCATGTTTATTACTAGGTCTACCGATAATGGATTCTGAAACAAACAAATATTTCATTTATAACATTTTAACATATACACAAGTATATATGTATTTATATAAGTGCACTCACATACTTATAAAGACAAATATTGATTAGTTATTCGCCAATAACTCCTAACCAACATGGACAAAATTTTACAGGTGTCAAATTCAAATTTTTTCCAAGTAGGTACGACGAAAGCAAAACAGCAAATTAATTCGTTTTTATATAAATTCTTATGTTAATATTATGTTATATAGATATTGATGTAAAAATTATTACTCTATATTATATTGAAAAAAGTATAAAAAAATGTTTTCAGCTATTTATAAATTTTAATTGTTTTATGCATCTTAGGATAGCAGATAAGCTGACGGCCCGCCTGATGGAAAGTGGTGTAAATGTCGCTAGCATATATTTCTCTGAAAATAATTTAAGATTTTGTTCTACAAAAAAAAAAAAACTTTAATCGTAGCAAAATCAGTTTTTTTTATTTCAAAACTAAACTACTCGACCGATTTTGATAATATTTCTATGGGACCAATCTGAGAGTATATCCTTCCAGATAAAAAAAGAATTTTCCAAATCTGTTTATAACTGACAAAGGTATGAGGTAACAAATAATAAAAAAATACAACCTAATCGAGAACCTCCTCCTCTTTGAAATAGCTTGAAAATCTTCCGTTTCGCTTGTAAAATACTCCCTTTAAAGGGCATTAATAATTTAGTTTTCAAACTGTCTGTATATAAAGCTAAAGTGGAAACTTTGAACACTCATGAAAATTACTGAATGTCTGAATTAAAATAAGAACAGAAAGTTTGTACGAGTACTTCAAATGTAATTGGATAAAATCTGACTATAAATATTCGTCTGGGCGTCCATTAAAACATAACTTTCGAATGAAAACTCCGAAAGAAAAAAGTATAGAATTAATTCGGCTTTAACAATGACAAGTAAACGTGATAAAAGCTTAAAAAAACTCGATCAGTTGTTTTATATATAATACAGTATATACAGTAGTGTCCTTTAAAAAGAGTATTCCACCATAGAGGTAGCATATGTTTGGGAGGGGGAGATAATGTTATTAATCGTGACTAAGAGCCTCATTGCTAGCAATATACTCAACTAGGTCGACCTTCACGTGGTCTTGCCTGAAAACCATCGTGCTGAATTCCAAGTGTATTTTTTTTTATAGGTGAAAATGGTGTGGTTAGGCAGGCATCCGTTAGCGCAGGCGGGGATACGTTGACGGAGCACCAGTAAAGGGTGATAGATGAGAATGAAAACAGGCCATTTAGCCCATCATGATGAATTCATCAGGAATTAACTATGATAGTTTCCAGGAAGAACCGCGAGGAGGTCGACCTGGTTGGGTATATTGCTAGCAATGGGATTCTCAGTCTCCATTACTAATAATCCCTTTCCCCCCTTGCAAGTGTATTCATCACGATGAGTTAACTGACCTACTTTTTCATCCTTACCTATCATCACTCACTGGTGCTCCGCCAATATATACCGTTAGCGCAAGCGGGGTTACCATTCCATCATCATCCATAAAAAAAAAAAACATAGAAATGAGTAATATACAGCAACATCTATATATTGTAGTTACAATATCTATATATTGGCCCAATAAAAGTTACGTTATATATCGGTTGCCCAATATATAATATTGAAATGAAGCACCCGATTGAAACGAATGGAGATATCTGACTGGTATGGGCGGTATCGAAATGGGTGATATGACATTTTTTTCCGTCATCAATTTCCAGAGAAACCCAATATATAGATATCGGAGCGGTACGAATATTACCCATACCTATATAACGTACTTTTTTTTTTCTCTTTTTTGTTCAATGTACTGGGTTTGGATTCCCAAGCACTTGCGGTTGCGCTTTTGGTGTACGCTCGCATATGCCAAGGTTTGCAGTCGATTAGGTAATTACATGGGTAAAGAATTTGGGCTTCATCATTAACTGGGTACTGAGAGCATGACTTTTAAGATAACCTTTCTGATCATTGGTGGGCGGTAAGTTATTATTGTGGATTTTACGATTTACAGGTTACGCAGTTGATGGAGTCGATAGGAAATTTTGGAGAAGATTTGAGACCTTTTGAAGAGGAGAGAAGTGAGTATCCTATATAACGGGGTTCTTCAAAAGGGGGGTAAAGAGGTTTCTTCAGGGTCGGCAACGCGCGCGTAATACCTCTGGTATTGCAGGCGTTCATAGGCTACGGTAACCGCTTACCATCAAGTGGGCCGTATGCTTGTTTGCCACCTCAGTGGTATAAAAAAAAAAATACGTACTACGTACTGACAGATTGGCTATGCAGTCACAAAATCGAGACAGGTAAATAGTTACACTATTGTGTGTTTAATATTAATGTAGCCAAGCGACAGTTCTGAATTTATATGGAATTTATTATAATTTAAATTTAAATTCATGGATGTTCATACCTTTATTTTGGTTAAATTTGATATTTTTTGTCTACCAATTCTTGTACAAATTATATCTGATTGGGGGGAAAGGGATTATTAGTAAGACTAAGAATTCTATTGCTAGCAATATACCCAACCAGGTCGACCTCCTCGCATTAATCATGATAGTTTCCAGAGGGAACCCCTCTGGAAACTATCATGGTTAATTCCTGATGAATTCATCATGATGGGCTAACTGACCTGTTTTTCATTCTCATCTATCACCCTTCACTGGTGCTCCGCCAGCGTATCCCGTAAGCACAGGCGGAGTTACCATTCCATATTCACCCGCCAAAAAAAAAATTATATCTGATTGTTCTATAATATTTAAAGAGAATTAATCTAAAACGTGTTTTTTCACGTATCCATAGTACTTTTTTTTTATATCCACCAAATCCGCTTCGAGATTATATTCTATAAGTGAATAGCAAACTTGTCTATCTCGCTCTAACATACATATACGTGTTATTATGTTTCTTTTTTTTTTTCACTACCAATCTATATATTTTATTTTCTAAGATTCCACCCGTAATACTGGGGGAGGGGAGAGAAATGTCAGTAATGAAGAAGTACTGATCTCGATATCTCCCAGTACAAGTTACAAAAAGAATATAAATAAAAAATATAGGTTAAATTAAGACGGGGACGACCTTCGTAATGAACGCATTGCGTAAATGAGATCCCATGGGAAATAAATCGATTCTCGGTCACGCCGAATTAGGAAATTAATATTAAATTGACTCAGGTCTGGGTTTTAGGGGTTCCCATTCGACTACTTTACTTGTTTAAACAATAATTGCATAACATTCGTTTATTTAGGTAGTTTTATTTAACACTAGCTGTATCACGCAGATTGGCCCATGTAAGTTGGGATAAAAAGTGCCTTATGCGTTTATCATTGGCATGTTTGAAATGTGCACCAAATTGTGCGCGAGATCCGAATTATGAACCTATTTTGATACTTGTTTTGCTACAATTAGGGTCGATTTTATACTCTCTTATTGTTTCGTGTAAAAATAAAGTATGTGTCAAAATCGTCAAATGTGTCAAAGTCACTATTTTCGAAGAATAAAATTATTTAGCAAATAATCTCACTGAACACTTTTCGATTTAATCATGTATTAATTATAATTAAATATATTATATATATGATAGAAACATGATAATGAGGTCAATTCCGAGGCACTTTTTCTCTATACCTCTTATTTTAAAATAAAAAAATCCATTTCATGTCACAGCGAAATCTTTTTACCAATGATCAATAAGAACTAATTTTCTAAAAGATTAAGTCAACATTATTTTAAATTTATCCTCTTGTTCCTAAAAACGTCCAACATCTCATAAACCTATTTTAACTATTGAACTATTTTTGTCTCTTTCTTTTACACTAAATTCTCAATTTGAAAGAAAGTGTTAAAATATGTCTATATAAAGTTTTAATTTTAACAAATAAGGGGGTTAGTTTATAACGGTCCATTATGGTAAGTTAAATGATTGGTTTAGAGAAATAGCGCCTCAGATACGACCTTACTATAAGGTAAACATGATTCTATGATCGTGTAATAGCACCATAAGCGAAAGTAAACTTATAAAACCATAAATATAACATTTACCTGATCACTATATAGTACTTGTACTCCTCTTATTGTGCCCACCTGACTCTGTATAATGGCAACTGATTGTGAGAAATGCATCCCTGAAACAAAGAAATATAACATGTTTATTATTTATTAAAATAAATATATTAAATTATATATATATATATATATATATATATATATATATATATATATATATATATATATATATACGTATACATATATATATACATATACATATACGACATATTAATAATATATTGACACTTGCAAAAATAATAGGATAATTGCAATATATGGTACATATAAATTGTGAACAACCACACATCGAGCTCTTTTCAATTTTACCGCGACGATAAAATGACATACTATGCTACGGTATTTAACGGTACGGTATATACGATATATAAATTATAAAAATGCCTAGTTCATCTGAAAAAGTTCAGAATTAAAAAATATACAAACATAGATGTAATATAGATAGAGCCTAAAATAACTCTGCACTTTTAGTAAAACAATACAATGGAATAGAAAAAAAAAGTAATAACCATTATAAATAAAAAAAAAACTACTGCGTAAAAGAAAAAAAAATGTTTTTCTATGACTTAAAATAGCAAACAAGCTGACGGTCCACCTGTTTGAAATTGGTAACCGTCGCTTATAGACATAAACACCTTGGACATAACAAAAATAGTAATTGTAAATATTATAAAATTAAAAATGTATGTATGTATATGTATAGGTAGCTAAAACAATATCAATTTGCGAAAACAACGACGACGGCGTAAAAGAAAACAAATAATAGGCAGATGTGACAAACCATGAATGTCGTTACAACAATATCATGTAAACAAACAAATGTGGAATATTCGGTCGATCGTGTGCAAATGGACTAGGTGTGTTGATAACAGCAAGGCCGAAAAACAATATGTGATGTGATTAATTAATTTGTAAGGAAAATTTACTTTTTTTTATACAAACGCGGACGAGACCATAATTATACGACCCACCTGATGGTAAGACGCAGGCCTGAACGCTTATAAGACCAAGGATTGTAACGTACACGCGACGTCCCTAGTGTTACAAGCTACGGTAATCGTTTAAGGGATGTATGTTTACTTTATTTCGCAACACGATTACAACACCTACACACTGAGGGATTTTGGGGGAAAGAGATTAATAGTAATGGGATCTTACTGCCCTATTACTAGCAATAGCGTGAATTTACTGGATACGGAGGAATAACGCCTGAGTCCTTAGGAATGGCAACGGATGGGGGTATCATGGGCGAAACAGTATACTCTGTTATGTCCATGGTACTGCTCATGTCTATAGGCGACGGTTACCACTTTCCATCAGGTGGACCGTCAGCTTGTTTGTCATTCTAAGTTCTATAAATATATAATTCGTCGTGATTAAATGTTGAAATCGTCACGATGAGTTGGATGATGAATCGCCAGTGTATATCGGTAGCGCAGGCGGGTAAACTATTTCCCATTCACTTATTATAAAAAAATAAATAGCAAGGGAAAATGGGGTGGAGGGATTATTAGTAATGAAGTCGAACAATCCTATTGCTAGCAATATATCCTATCTCGTGGACCTGCACGCAGTTCCCCCTCGAAAACATCGTGGATAATTCTTCTAGAATTCGTCATGGTGGCCCAACTGACCTGCAGTCATCCTCATGTATCATCACTCCCTGGTGCCCCGCCAGTGTATACCGATAACACAGGCGAGGATACTATTACTGTTACTGTTTTTCACCATCAAAAACATATCTGGTTTTTATTATTCCCCCTGTGTATTTGTTTGCTATTTTTATGGCCCAAATAAACAGCACCACTCACACTACCCAATATTATATCGTCGCGAATACATAATGTCTCAACTACCAGCTAGAATTAATTTTACACAAGGGAGTACTTTTGCGGATGAATTTACCGAAGGATATTTTGGATGTACATTGTTTACTGTTAGGGGACTTACGAGCAAACGGTCCACCTGATGGAAAGTAAACATTTGCAACACTAGAAGTGTTGCCAGGGCAATATCGGACTTTTGTACATTTGTGCAGCTATACTTTTTGTTTAAGACCTATATTTTTGTACATATGAAAAACTTAGAGAAATTATCCATTGCACAAACCATATGTACGAGAAAGAAATATCCATCATAAACTGTTGTTTTTTTTTGATGAGTGAAAATGGTATGGTAGCCCCGCCTGCGCTAACGGAATACGCTGGCGGAGCACCAGTGAAGGGTGATAGATGAGAATGAAAACATGTCAGTTAGCCCATCATGATGAATTCATCAGGAATTAACCATGATAGTTTCCAGGGAGAACTGCGAGGAGGTCGACTTGGTTGGGTATATTGCTAGCAATGGGATTCTCAGTCTCCATTACTAAAAATCCCTTTCCCCCTCAAACAGTTGCGTTTCTTGTGGTTTGTTTTTAGCAAATAACATTCTAAAACTAGGGCAACAAAAAATAATCATGATTTAAAAGGCCTTTTGTATATTTAATTTTCAAATTCAAAAAAAGATTTTCAATCTGCTTGTATTTTTTTTTTGTTTATTAACTCACAACTCCGTCAGTTCTGAATCAATTTGGAAAATTCTTTTTTTTTTTTTATTTAAAAGGATATGCTTACAGATTGGTCCCATAGAAATGTTATCAAAAACGGTTCAGTAGTTTAGTTTTTAAATAAAAATAACTGGTTTTGTCACAATTCAAGTCGTTTTTATTTGTGGGACACATTCTTACAATTTACAGACAATGTTTTATTAGTATGATAGATACATTACGTGTATACCAAATTTCATAGTGATTAGTTAAAACGTTAAAAGGCAACAAACAAACAAACAAAACAAAGTCACTTTTACGTTTATAATAGTTTAGTAAACATAATACGCATTAACAACAGTAATTAATTGCAATATATAGTGACATTGATTATTTTATGTCTAATTAAGTATTTATACTTAAATAAAATATGTACATACGTTAATTAGAGTCAATAGGTATAAACTGTAGTAGGTAATAAATTTTTAAAAAGAGCGTAGTTTTTTTTTTTTTAATTTTTATTGTTATGCCGTAATTATTGAAACATCTTTAAAGCCTAACTGCGGTTGCCAACCCGCCTGCCAAGCGTGGCAACTACTGGCAAAACCCGTTAAAGGGGAGGCTTATGTTCAGCAGTGGACAGTTAAAGGCTGATATGATGATGATGAATCAGTGAAAAATATCATAATAAAGTGAACGACTTATACCAGAGGGAGACTTTGTACAAAAGTCGATTGCTTGGGTACCTCTGTCCCATTCGTGTTTCAACCGTGAAGCAGCTGTGTTTGGATGGCTGTGTTTCGGTTTGAAGGGTGGGATATGGCGTGAATTTACTGGGTACAGAGGAATAACACCTGAGTCCTCAGAATGGCAACGCATGGGAGGTATCATGGGCGAAACAGTATACTCTGTTATGTCCATACTGCTCATGTCTATAGGTGACGGTTACCACTTTCCAACAGATGGGCCGTCAGCTTGTTTGCCATTCTAAGTTGTATAAAAAAAAAAAAAGAATTAAAAGTATACTGACACACTGAATTACGTAATACGAGAATTTGTTGATATTCCGTTACGTACGTCTTGAAAAATTATTCTAACCTAGCATTATATTTAGTGGGAAGGCCTATGTCCAGCAGTGGATGGATAAGGGGTAAAATGATAATGCTGTTGATGAAAAGTTGATGATGATCGTATTAAGTATTGAACGATATTTAAAAACGTTATTCCGAATACCGTAACTAAGATTTCTTTTCCCGAAAAAAAAAACCGACTTCATTCTTAACAACACTACAGGACAAGCAAGGAAGTGAAGCCATACGATTAAAAAAACAATCATTCAAATCGGCGAAGATATCGTGTAACATACAAAACAAACAATTCGAAACCAGTTCGAAGCCGGTCGACGGAACGTGCTTTCAACAACAATATCATTGCGAACGTAAATACTCCGTTAAATCAACATTGATACAACTATTTCGAACGATGACACGCCGATTTAAAAGTGCTTGGTAACAATACAGATAAATTTCAGCTATAAAAACAGAGGAGATATGAGCTATTGAATATATACATTATGAATATATCTACACTTATAATAAATCTGTAGAGAGGTCAATTCTGTACATGAAATATATTTCCAGAATAACCAGCAGGGGGTGATTAGTGATCGATACTGATGCCAAAAATGCGATCAGTAAAATTTTTGTCTCTGTCTGTCTGTATATTCGTTATAAAAACAAAAACTACTCGACGGACTTTAACGAAACTTTGTACGATTATTCTCCATACTCCTGGGCAGGTTATAGTATACTTTTTATCACGCTACGATCAAAAGGAGTAGAGCAGTGAAGGGAAATGTTAAAAATGTACACCCGTGCGACGCCGGGACGGGTCGCTAGTACAATATAAATTTATTATTAAATTTTTTGTCCGCTCTTTCATACGCGCGGATTTCAGAAGTAAGAAAATGAGTGAGATATCTTATTTTTAAATGGCGTATCAAGATAAAACATACGCTAATTTTTAGTTACACCCTATCAAGTCGTTATTTGGCTGTGTTTCTGTTTGAAGGGTGTGATATGGCAGTGAATTTACAGGGTACAGAGGAATAACACCTTACTCCTCAGGATTAGCAACGCGTAGGAGGTATCATAGTCGAAACTGAAAACGATCATGGTTAATTCCTGATGCATTCATCATGATGGGCTAACTGGCCTGTTTTCATCCTCATCGATGACCCTTCACTGGTGCCCCGCCAGCGTATCCCGTTATCGCAGGCGGGGTTATCATTCCATTTTCATCCAATAAAAAAAAATATAGCACGATGTATGCTCAAACAATAGAGTTAATAGATTTAACAAAGGTCACCTAATAACATTGTAATACAAAACACATACACACACGTGTTACGGATTCACAGCATTGTTCTAAAGTTCGCGGATTCGTCTCAGAAATCGCGGAGTATAGTAATACGGCATCCTATTTTTACTACTACCTACCTATACCTGCCAAAAGGAGAAATTAGGTAAGAGG